ACCGCTGCGGTACATGTTCCGCTTGCACGTTTCACAGTTCAGGGCTTATGATTTGATTTGATAAATTATCAAGATTTTCTTCCTATAAGGACTAGGCGCAGAATTTGAATCGAGCAGGCATGGGTTATTCCCCGTTGTTGAAATGTGAGATTTAAATTATGCTCGCACATTCATCTGCGAATGCTAAAAGCCGTTTCACTTCGGAGTTGTTCTCCATGGACGGTAGCCTGCAGCTCACCGGGAGGTCCGCATCACGCTCGCCTTTAAGCAGTCTGACATGCATTTATTATGCAGTTCTTGCTTTTCCATTCTCCCACCTTATTTTCTTGTTTTTTCCAAAGGATTTCCTCGCTCATGCTCCACTAACAAATCACTACGAATTGAAATAGTTTGTAAATGGCTGTTTATAAGTTTTCACCTTCAAATGACAGCAAGCTGGAATAATACTTTTTGGCAACCTTCCTTCCCTTTCTTTGAGCTGCCAGGAAATTGATGTGTCACGTGATGTATTAGTGGTATGGTCATGGTTCTGCCATTTTAGGTATTTGTATTGTGCTTTGGCCTCGGCCTCATAGTTCATAAGCTATCACTTGTGCCGTCTGTTACCAATTTCTAATTTTGAATATGCATATGTTTAGTATCTGACTCAGAGGAACGAGCTTAAAAAGGAAAAATAGTAATTAAGTAATCGTTTACTATTTCTTAAGAATTGGAATCAGCCTCACCAGCAAAACTTCTTTTTCGGCTCACACTGTAACAACAAACCAGGTTTATGAACTTATTAGTCATGTCTGACCTCATGTGCATCGCAAAAAGCAGTTATAGTCTAACACTGTCGCCCTAGGAAACAAATGCTATATACAATGCGAGTCGTAAGCTTAGATGCCCCTATAGTTTTTGCTGCCTTCAGGTTCCAGTAGCTTTCAGCAAGCTATAACGGAGGCGTATTAGCGAGTCTGGACAACACACTGGTTCATATCAGCTTACAGCTTTATTTACAGAATTCTGAACTTATACTCTAATACCTTT